CATTATCGCCCACGTTAAGAACCACTGCTCTAGAAGAGCTAATTTACTGCATCTTATTCTAAGTTACAGCTACACATCCATGCTTTTTTCACATGTTGTTTTTAAAGTTGTTCATTATTAACTTCCTGTTACTATAATTAAGTAAAAAAAGACAAAAGTTGAATAGAATGTGCATTTGTTTTTAAATTGCTTTCTATTCACTTCCCATAAATGCAATTCAGAGTTATGTTATCTCCCATTTGTATTATTCCCACCCCAGATAAAAGACATAGTGTCATACTAAATTAAAACATTTAGCACATTTTTAGAAGAGGTGGTTCCTCATGTGCTCAAAGACATCTGTTTGCCACAGCATGTAGTTTTCCTCAACTGTTTGATGCATTTAGCATATTTCGTTTTCTGATTTGTTATGGGAACTTAAACACACAAGTTTAATTTGCAAATCCAATCACAGCATGTGTATCTCTGAAAAAAACTACATTGTGAGCTGGAAAATAGTTAACTGGAAACACCATCTACTTAGTGTCTCCGTGTGTACTGTGCTGTCAAGTTGGAACTGACTTACAGCCACCCTAATAGGCCTTTCAAGGTAAGTGAGATATTTAAGGAGTGATTTTACCAGTTCTACTCCCACAGTGAGTTTCCACAGCCAAGTGGGGATTCAAACCCTGTTTTCCAGAGCCCTAGTCTGTCACTCTATCCACTACACCACACTGGGAATCCTCACCAGACTTAGTACAGTGGTGCCTTGCTTAGCGATGTTAATCCTTGCAAAAAAAATCGCTGCTAAGCGATAACATCGCTAAGCAAAAATAAAAAGGCCACAGAAATGCATTAAAATGCGATTAATGCGTTCCTATGGGCTAAAAACTCACCTTTAAGCGAAGATCCTCCATAGCGCCACCATTTTTGGTGCCTCCAAAGCGAGGGATCCGTGCCTGAAAACAGCGGGTGGCCATTTTGTTTACCCAGTGGCCCTTTTGAAACTGCTGATCAGCTGGCCGAAAATGGGGGCTTTGCGATGATCGCTTCCCTGTGATCATTGCAGAGCGAATTTCCCCCATAGGGACCATCGCAAAGCGATCGCTTTTGCGATGGCAAAAAGTCCATCGCAAAGCGATTTCGTCTTTATACAGAGCGATCGCTATGCGAGGCACCACTGTATCTAGTTTTGGGAGGCAGGGGGAAGAGAGACTGGACAACATAGTCTTGTATAGTTCTGAACAGAAACTGTTCAGAAACATTATCAATACAATTTAAAGCTGACAAAAAGAAATGCACTTTATAATAATATTCATCCTGATGCATATGAGCATTTAGAGTACACTACCTCATCAAGACACTGAAATGCGGAACATGAATGCACATCAACTGAACTTTCATCTTGAATATTAATTGTTGGAGCTAAAGCATAAATAGGATCCTCTGGATTCTCTGGTTCTGATTCTGGTTCAGATTTCTGTTCAGGCTCTGAATCACTGGAGGATCTAAAAATCTCTTCTTCTTCTTCTTCTTCTTCAGAACCACTCATTTTTCCTTTTCAAAATGCTGCCAAAAAAACAAGAACAAAAATTCCATATATTAGATTGAAATTAAATTTTGAGGAAAGAATACATTAGGAATGAGTGGGCAGATGAGAATATCTATACCAAGAATAGGAAATATTAAGAGAGAAGAGATGAAGGAAATAAAGGGACAGGGCAAAGTATAACAGTTGTGATAGAGTATATGCTGAATGGTTGTGCATGGCTGGTTTTTTTTGGGGGGGGAGGAATAAATGGATAATTTAAATGCTTTAAGTGTGCATCAACAAAGCTAATAAGAAATAGTTAACATAAAAACAACACATGTAAATGTTGTGAGCTACATTAAAGACTGCCATAGTAAAGGCACAAACACTACTCAAGATTGACATCCTGATTCTCCACTTCAAGCAGTGTCAGTGCAGTTAGATACAACCTGTTAAAACCCTCACAGGATTTCCCCCAATAGCATCAAAAGTGGAAGTCCATGAGTTTTTCCACTGTTAGCCAACAAATGTAGTAAAAGCAGTATAAGTTTTCCCACCTCTGTTTCCCTTACAATAATTCTGAGACTTGGTTTTAAGACTCTTCCAGAAGGCTGCCTCGGATATAAAATCTTCAATCACTGTTTCTCTATCTTTTAGAACCCAGCAGTCTGATTCCTCTTGTGTTGGTATACAAACCTCTTTAGAACTCACTGCCTAGCCTAGAAGACTGCAGTCAGTGAAGCTATGGAGTTCCAAAATGCTTGGAAATGAAATCAAAGCAACAGTCCCAACTTTTCTAAATATATTCTAATTGGACCATGGATTAATTGCAGTGACCTAAAACAGATTATTTGCAGAGCATACCACAACAATGTAAGATATTGAGAATATAGTATAACTACATCTGTGCATGTTTTTCTTTTTAAAAAGACGTCATGGGTCAGTAAAATCTTTGAAGACAAGTGTAGCTGGCCTCCAGTACTGTTTGGATTGTTGTCAAGGACATTTTTGCTTTACAGAAAGATTTCAGCAGCTGCATTTGCTTAGGAATTCAAAAAGGAAAAAAAATATTAACGATGATGCCTCCTGCAGAAATCAAAACATTATGTAATCAACTGAAAGCAGCATAAAGTTTATGCATCACACATACACAGAAAATTATAAAGAAAAAGATAATTTTAATTCACACAGTTGCTCAAAATCTACTGAATATTTCAACTAAGCCTCTACTAAAATTTTGCCAGTTTAAGCCCTGTGGGAAGAGGTTTGTGGCCAAAATATACCTTCTTTGATAATTATAGAAAGTCCATTATTGGAAGAAGCAAAACTTTAAGGACTGATTGTGTGAGAGTGACACAACAGACACGTCTCTCACTTCCTGCAATTTGCAAATTAGCTTGCTTTGATTTGTGATTTGCCTTCAAGACTTAAGTGTAAGATTTATTTGAAGTCTGATTTCTCTATGAAAGATTCCCTCATCGAGGTCTCACCAACACTAATGCACTTTCAGCTGTAATGATGATTTATCTATAACATCTGTTTGTTCTTCATGTGACTTTCTTAAGTGAATTTAGACACAATTTCTTGAAAATTAAGGGGGTGGAGAAGCCACGGGTAATGAAAAATAAAAAGAATTTTCAAGTATGCCACATATATGGGCATATACATGTCTATGTCTAGCTGTCTTTTCTTCCAATATTTTCTATGGATTAATAAATTAGGCAGAACACATCATTGTTATTAACATGTCAAAATATTTTTATTTATAAGAAAATTACCTTAGGAGAACAGTCTATTTGTTATTAATACTTTAAAATGTTTCTAACATGACTCTTCGAAAGGCGACATGGAACTTGAAACATCTCCACATTTAGTAATTATCCAAAAGAGAGAGAGAGAAAAAAAAATAGGGTTTACCAAGAAATATCTCAGGGAACCAATTGGAGAAACTAGCAAATATTTAAACAAAATCATTGGAATATATAATACTAATTGTATTTGGCTCTATACAGATTAAGTAAAATGTACAGCAATATAAAAAACCAATTCAGTTACAAATCTGTACTAAATAGAATTCTCAAATGTAATTTTAAAAAGAACGAATTAAGGTTCCTACTAAAGTTTTCCATGCCCACCCTCAAAAGCATACTATAAATTCTGGAAAGGGAAATTAGCTGACTCATTATGGCCACATAATAGCAACAAGTTTGCTCCACAAGCTCTTATGCCTATTAGTCTGATTCTCTCATTCTGGTACAATATTCGTATATCTAAACTGATTAATGCAATCCATGTAATAAAAGGAAATTAGTACTGTAGAATAATAAACTTGAGAGGTCTGGTATTTTTCTTGTGAGCTACAGTTTCTAGACTCTGTCCACATGGCCTGATTACATAATTCAGTCTGTAAATGACATTTAGCAATACAGTATTCTGTCACCATTTCACAGAAATTCATTGTGTTAGCAAAATACTTTATGTGGATGATATTACCTGCAAAGTATACTGTATTGTCATACGTCTATTTTTCTGTATTTTAGCCAAAGCCTCAGAAAACACTGACTTTTAAAAAATCTTTATGTATAATTTGTGGTCTCCGCCAATGGCCACAAATACAATATATGAACCTTATCCTATGTAGAGCAGTGATCCCCAACCTTGGGCCTCCAGATGTTCTTGGACTACAACTCCCAGAAGCCTTCACCACCACCTCTGCCGGCCAGGATTTCTGGGAGTTGAAGTCCAAGAACTTCTGGAGGCCCAAGGTTGGGGACCACTGATGTAGAGGACATGCTTGTGGTTGCAATCCAGCCAAATGATAGTGCTCACGTTTCTTCTTCCAAGTCATTAAGAAAGGAATCCCTTCTATGCAATTATCACTACCAGAAATAGCTGAAAAGCATTATTTTCAAATACTATTGGCAGTGCTATTCACCATTGTAGATTTTAATATTTATTTCATATGAAGAGTCTGTAGGTTGCAAAACCCCTTATTTGAGGCAACATGTGTTGATACTATAATAAGCATACTGAACCAGTTGTCTTGTGGCACCAGCTGAAGTCTGACTGAACAGATAGACCTCTCTGGTTCTCCAACCAAGGAGATAAATCTCAATGCGAGCAGACAAGGAGAAAGAAAAAGTTTGATTTTTGTGTGTGAGGTGGCTTTAACACAAGGGCAGCCATCTCCACTCATTGCTAGGTGGCACTAGTGCTCATTGGATCAGAAGGAAGGTATAACTGTATGTGTGTTGGCACTTACACAATGTCATCAAATCAGAAAGTCAGGAATGAGAAGAGGGAAATTGGATAATAGCCGGTGGGTGAATGCACATAGACAAGCAGAAGAGCACAAGCATCACAATTCATCACAATCCTTGGGAATAGCGGTACACAGCTTGGGGGAAAAACAAGAATCAAATTGACCCTCGAAAGAAAACACTATATAGCACTATATAGAGAAATTTTCATTTTTTAGAAACCAAATCTGAGAGAGAGAGAGAGAGAGAGAGAGAGAGAGAGAGATCTTCTACACTGAAGATACTTAAGTTGGGCATTACTTGATTTTTCAATGGGTCTTTGGTTTTTTCCGAAGGGTGTGATATCTGGCAGCATTATTCTTGTTACTCCCTGGTATTTTAGCTAATCTTTTACTCTTTCTTTTTGCATCGCATTTTTAGCTTTTAAATAATTTAAATAATTCTTTATTTTTTTTCGTTTGCCATGACAACTGTACAGTCATATTGCTGTTTTAAGCTTAGTTTTAGGCTACTCTGGATCTGTTTTCCCTGTTGCTTCACTACACCTGCCAACCTCATGATTGTTATTTATGAGTTGCCGCAATAACCTCTGGGTCTGCTAATCAGACAAGTAAAAAGAGATATCAGTTGAATTGCCTCCTCTTGACCTTGGACTTAATTTGAACTGAACAGCTCATTTTCTTTGGAAACTGGTGAAGGAAATGTGTTTGGAGTTGTGCGGGACTGGTTGGTAATATTGGGAGTTACTATAGTGAGCAAAGGGACAGCAAAGATTATACTAAGGCTGAGCTATGGTGTTTACCAGGAAAACAGACAGAGACCTGGGAATGGTACCAGATGCATATAGTCATCTATTTCCAAGGAAAGGAAGGAAAAAGCAAATTAAAATTATGCAGTATTTTAAGAAGGAAAAGGAGAATCGACCGGGGGTGAATATGAGTGACTGGTGTGTGTTAGCTCAAGATGAATTAGTTTATCCTGTGAGCTTGGACTGTTCTGTTAGACTTTAAAGAGAACATTCAAGAGCCCAAGTCTTTACAAACTTTTCATGAACCTGGCCCTGGAGATGCCTAAAGTAGAGTATGTGTCCTCTCACAAGGCACTGCAACAAGCTGATAAAGTTCAACTCTCAATTCAAGAAGGAATGTTAAATGAACTCATGCAAAAACAGATCACTGAACTTGCATGTAGCAGAGTCCAAGAGGCCAGCTTGCAATAACCAATCCACCTGCATTCAAACAGAAGACCTGGTAGATGCTACAACCTTAGTTCTTCAATGATGTCTTCTCTCGATGCATGGGGAGTTAACTATGGTTAAAGACCTTCTCTCAGAAAGCAGCAGACTGCTAAAATTGCTGGATGGGAACAACGTAGTTAAAGAGAAGAGCCCAGGGGTAAAGGGATCCAGAGAAGATGTCATAAGCCCAGAGGATAAACAAACAAACAAACAAAAAAACTGCCAGGAATCTCCTATTTATTCCCCACAGAAATTAATAAAATGGCTAAAGAGAAAAAAACTAAAAATATTAAGAACCCAAAAAAGAAGACAAAAAAAGTCCAGTGCTATCCAAAAAGGGATTTGCAGAGGCTATTTAACCTGATGGATAAAAAAAACCATCTCTAAATAAGTCAGAACATAAATGCTGCAAAGAAAAAAAGAAAAAAGAAAAGAGGTTGAAGAAAAGGGAGAAATTGGAAAACAACAAAAATTAAATTTATTTTCAGCAGCAAACAGAATCAAGTGAACAATTGCTAGATCAGGACTCTTCTCCA